CTTACTGAAATGTCATATGCTTTAAGAACAACTGTTTGACAGTCTTTGATGGGAAACCTAAAATTAATAATAATATTAATTATCAAATAAAAAATGAATATTTCCTTATTAAATAAAAATCATCTAGGGATAAAATAGTACCTTGGCGTTCTTTCTATATCAACACGGAGGATGTTAGCAATCATCTCAACATCCAAGTTAAAATGCCCTTCGTGGCACGTACCCATATCACATGTATGTTCTTTAATGTATCTTTCAACTTTCCACATGTTAGTATGTTTATCAATAAAAGAAGTCAACCTAAATCGATATCCTTGTTGTACACGCCTGCAAACAAGTCGCCATGATTTTTTTGTTGATTTAATAACAAAGCACACCTTGCTATCTTCAAATGTAGAAGTTTAACTGCTCTTTGCAACTGCTTTTTTGAATTGAATAACATGTCTTTTTCAATATAAATAGCATCATTCATGAAATCTTTTGGTTCATGCCACGTACGTTGTGATGTATATTCATCATGTGTATTACCAAAGATATCTGGACCATCCGAGAGATGATCAAGATAGGAATTTCATGATTACGAAACTGACTCATGGACATTGGTCTTGGCGATTGATTGGGAGTCAAAAAATCGTCATCACTAGATGATGCCTCAAATGAAATATTATCTCCTGATTCCTCAGCATTAGGCAAATCATCACTATCACTAGCTGAAGGTGAGCCGTAATTAGGAAGGTCAGGATCATCAATATTCATAGGATCAATGGGCTCATCTGGTGTAGTATTTTTCCTATATATGTAAAAAATATATAAATATTTGGCTCATGCAATTAACTTACTCAAATAAAAAAATAAGTGTTAGACATAACGATAATCATCTGCATCAAAAGTAGGCGAGACATGAAAATTTGAGGATGTCCCAACATTTTCCATCATTTCAAAGTGTGAGGACTGACCAAAAATAATTATTGTCCATAACTTGGAGCAATATCTCTATCTTGCTGAGGTAAACCGCTACAAAATATATAATAATAAGAATAATAAAAAATATAAATTAATAAATAATTGACAAAATCAACAAACAATAATTGAAATATAATAATTGAGCATTACCGGTCACTATCATTGATAGTTTTGTTTAATCAAAATCATATCGGTCGGTAAGAGTATTTTGATAATGAGTCATTTTAGGAAAATCAGTAGATTGAGTTATCGAAAATTCATCAATGCTATTACGATTTTCTAATTAAGTATGAACATCGATTGATAAAGGAGAATGTTGTGGACTAATCTTAGGGTCCTTCCTAACACAGATTTCAAGTATTGTTAACTTGCTTTGATCTATATAGTCATTTAGAACCCTCAAAAAGCCGGTCAACGATTTGTCATTATAGATAATTCACTCTCCAAAATTTACTTGTCCTTGTGATAAAAATGAAGTAGGGTATTTTACGGCTATAATCAAATTATAATCGTATTATTTTATACTCATTCTTCTATAAATTTATGAAATAAATTTATGATATCGGACATTTATTGGATATTTAGCATTGTGTTTGGGAGGAAAATTATAATAAACGGTATTTTCATCATGTATAATTCCGTCATCCCAATAAATTAAAACTTTAACTTTAGGTGTAGAAGACATTTTTTTAGATTGAAATGAACAAATATAGAAGACTTTATGTTGTAGGTACTATCAACTATGTGTAAACGTCCTTAAATAGATTTTTCAGAATAAAAAAATACAAATACATAATGAAATATTTTTTTCCGTTTTAATGACATATCAAATCAATATAATTTATATGACAACATTGAAAAAACTTCTTCAAGACGGGAAAAATATTCTTCTTATAAAGTGTAATAAAAAGTTTCACTTTATAAAGTAGAATAAAAACTTTTACTTTATAAAATGGAATAAAAAGTTTCACTTTATAAAGTGAAAGAAAAAACTCCACTTTATAAAGTGTAAAAAGAAGTTTCGTTACATATTAAAAATAAATGTTATAAAACTAACGAAAAACGTTTAGATTATTGGATATAGTGAAACTTTTTCTTCCACTAAGCTTATTTTAGTTACTTAATAAAATAGTGACTTATTTTGCTTACTTTTATATTTTGTGACTTATTTTGATTTCCAACCCGACAACATGTCATTGTTGGTATGTGGTGTGAACTTTTGTCTCACATAAGCATTGGATCATCTCTGACATCTAAATTATACATTTGGAGGATTTTAAAGTTGTATATAGATAGATATGTATACACTCTGAGACGAGAAGAAATATAATAATAATGATATGCTTTGAGAGTTATTGCATAAAGTAACTTGTATTTAGAGAAAGATTTTGAGAAAGTACTTTGTGTTTTTATATATATATATATATATATATATATATATGTTCGTAGTTGAAGATGAATATTTTTTCTGTTTTATTAAAATAAAATTCTCTACCAAGAAAAACATAATATCTTGAGAGCTTTTTGAATTAGACAAATTTATGTAGTACACAAATGATATACTCCCTCAGTTTAAAAAAGAATGTTCCTATTTCATTTTTAGTCTGTCTAAAAAAGAATGACTCATTTCCTTTTTTGGCAACATTTTAACTTTAACTTTCCACGTTACATGTTTAAAACCACAAGATTTAGAGACATTTTGGTATATTTGACATAACTTTAATTTAGAACCACAAGATTAAAAAATCTTCTTTCTTTTCTTAAACTCCGTTCCAAATCAAACTAAGTCATCCTTTTTGAACGGAGGGAGTATACACTTGTATGTCATGTGTATAATACTGTATATAAAATATCATACACTCGACATAGAAAAAATATATGTCAAATATACTTAAACATATCTATGGTGAGATTCATTACACAAGCAATTATTTCCACCTTCAAATATCATTATAACCATTACCGTAAATCATCATAACTACAACACATTTGGTCATTATAATACAAAAATCGCTTTCATAGAAGAAAAAAAAGAAAGTTCATTATGAGAATACAGACATATCTTCTTTTCTAGCAAATAAATTTGCGTAAGTTAGATTTTCTAGTAACAATGTCATTATTTTGTGAGGTATTTTCATATTCCTTAAAAGGAAAAATATTAATAACAGTTAACTTCGATACAATAATAGAAGGAGAAATGAAAGGGAAAAAATGGTAATATGAACAAAAATTACAAAGATAGATGAAATCAACATATGATAAATATGATTATTATGATACCAGACAGAGTTTCATGATGACGCTAGAAAAAGGGGACAGGTTTATGATTAGTTATGAGCCGAAAATTATAAAATATCTATATTTTCTTAAATTGCTATATTTTGAGAAATGTGATTATTTAGGGTTATTAATCAAAAATATCTTTAAGATGATACTTCAAAATCATATTTCATCATATGATATGAAAATCTTTCATTTGCTTCTTCTTTCTTTTAAAGTTTCCTTATGCATCGAATGAAATAAATTTTGATAAAAAGGTATTTTATCTTCCATAATTTCCATCTTTCATCTCGATTCTGAAACGTGCTGCTCAGTTAGAATATTCACAACTGATTATGAAAATATTTTAATTATTATTCTTTCTCCAACCGCAAATCCAATGGTGCATGGTGTTTTACTTTTAGAGTGCATGACTTTACTTGAACCCATGATGATTTTGTTTTTTTGTACTAAAAAAATTAGAGTTCAAGGTCCAAAAAACAAGTTAACAATTAGGGTACTAAGTAAAAATTTCCACATTTACGAAAACATAGAATTTTTTTTAATTTTTGGCTCATATCTTATCTCTTCTTATCAGCTCACTCTAATTCCTATCTTACAATCTCTCTAATCGCCTAGTTAAATGTCATCATGAAACTCCGTTTTGGTGTCATAATAATCATATTTATCCTATGTTAACTTCATGTATCTATGTAATTTTGTTGATAGTAGTACCATTTTTTTCCTTCCATTTCTCCTTTTATTGTATCGAAGTGAACTGTTATTACTTTTTCCTTTTAACAAATATAAAAGTACCTCACAAGATAATGACATTGTTACTATCAGAATTTACTTACGCCAATTCAATTACTAGAAAAGGAGATATGTCTAAATTCTAATGAACTTTCTTTTTCTTTTTTTTTCCTTTTATGGAAGTGTTTTTTGTTTTGTTATGACCAAATGTGGTATGGTTATTGGTTTACGATAATTAAGATATTATAGTATTATATATCTAATAGATGTCAGAGATGATCCAATGGTTATGTCTTGTGTGAGATAAAAGGCCACAACACATACCAACACTTGTTGTCACTATAAAGCCCAAAAACAAAAGAAGATTTTTCTTACATTTCAACAAAATCTATCAACCCTAATGTCATGATTTATCATGTCATCATACCAGTTAGGCGGTATGTGGCATAAATTTATCCATTATAAGTCTTAAAGGAATATTTTAGAAATATATAGAGAAATTTTTGAATTTCATGGATTTACAAGAAAAAACTTAGTTGTGTAAAGTATTCTAAAATAAAGACTTATTTATAAATATGTAGGGACTCATAGAACAATTATTATTTATGTATTGACCATATGAAAGACTTACATGGAAAGAAGAATAGTCCTTAGTGGAATATTCTAGAAATATATAGAGAAATCTTTGGAAGATCTAAGGATTTCATGGATTTACAAGAAAGTATTCTAGAATGAAGACTTATTTGTAGATTTGTAGGGACTCATAACAATTATTTTTTATGTATTGACCATATGAAAGACTTACATGGAAATAAGAATAGTCCTTAATAGAATATTCTAGAAATATATGGAGAAATCTTTGAAATATCCTAGAATTTTTTGGATTATTTACATGAAAAGATCTTAAAATATTCTAGTTGTTTAGAGTATTTTAGAATGTAGACTTTTTGTAAATATGTAAGGACTCATTTAACAATTATTATTTATATAATAACCCTAAATTAGTAGTATAAATAGAGTACAACCATTCGTAAATTGACAAGCAATATAACAATCTGGTGGGGTAATTTGCCTCGTGAGCCATTGAGAGGTACTAATGAGGATTAAGGCATCCGAGAAAAAATGTGGCTGCTTTTACTGGCGTTCTCTGTCTCCTTGAAGCAGGTTTTAGTCTTGATTTTTATAAATTATTATTATTGCAATGTATGCAGACCAAAATTCTTTTAAGACAATTCACTTTCGAATTTTCAGTTTCTTTAAGTTTTAAATTTTTCATTCACATCAATTTTATGTTTTAAATAATGGGAAAAAAATAGAACTTTTTCATGTTCTTATTTCTTTAACCCATCAACTACCTCTCTCCACTGCTTAACTGAAAAGATCCCACGCATTATAAATTAATAACCGTGCAAAAGAAAATTACACCAAAGAGAGAGGGATCCACGATTCTATAGAAGTAGTGGAATCTAATACCATTATACATATGATGGTTAGTATGGATGAAAAGAAATAATTGATGTTTCGAAGATAGATCTAGTCTGATTTGCCAATAAAATAAAATAGTTTAGTATCTTTTCTTTTTTAATATAAACAACTTTGCATAGAAGACGTAGATTAATATTGTAAGCTACCTATGATCTACATCTTCTATTCTAAGTTGATAACAAAAATAAATAAATAACAATGAACATAATTGATATTAAATCTATCTTCAAAATATCTTTCATTTTTTTTCTTCCACGCTCATCACCATATGCATGATGATATGAATTAGCCTCCTCTTTTCTTTTGAGTTTTAGATTCTCCACCTATTTCTGTGTAATTTACTTTTTGGCTAATTTTTAATTTATAACGTGTGAAATCTTTTGTTTTTGGCAATGGTGAGCGGTGGCTATTTGTATTAAGGAGATAGAAACAACTATTGACAAATTATTCAATATTGATTTATGTTGTTATATATTGTTCTCTAACATTTACATTTCTTCTTATTTGGGAGCTTTGGAGCATACGCTTGAAGGAAGTGAAATTGGAAGCAATTGAGAAGACGTTAGCAGATTATACATACGAAGCCTCTTTTTAAGAGTTCCGTTTTACTTTCAACCAAACCTCCTATCCAGGGGTGGAGCTACATACTTCGAAGTATACTTTTTTTTGTGTAAATACTTATAATAATAAGTGGATGGTTTATTGATTAATAAATACATGTCCGATTCTCTATTTGAAAGAAAACCATATACTTGCATACGTTTTTCCTTTGTTACTTTAGTTTGTTTTTACTTTTTGCTATATGTAGATTTTATTTTTAAATAACAGAAAATTACTAAGTTTCAGTGGTAATGAATGCTAGCAAAGTAAAGAAATTTAATAATCTATATTAGCAAAGTAACAAAATAAACCAAAACTTTAAGCAAAGCGACTTTAAAACACAAAACAATGTTATGCGGTATTTTTGTGGCTTATTAAAAAGTTTAATTTGCACGGTAGTAGTTGTTCTGTTGTTATTCCTATGTAATAATAATAACATATTCAATATAATATTTTTTAAAAATATGGTATTTTATGACAAATTATAGGTTTAATTAGCATTTAATAGCGCAATTTAATTTTTTTAGCTATAAAATATTTTATTTATTTATTTATTTGACAGTAAACTGCCACATTTATTATAAGTGCTTTTAAAAATACGTTATGCTTGTTTGATAAATAGTTGACACATAATATTATAATTGTATTATTCATCAATACGTGAATAATATATTGTTCTTAGTAATATATATTAAAATTGTATTATAATTGTATTAAAAGTGACCAAGTGAAAAAAACTATTATTACTATAAATGATAAATATTTTTTATTTATAGTATATTTATGTAAGTTTCATTTTATATATATATATATATATTCATCGGTTAAGATGAAGATGTCTTGTATGACTTGACTTTACTAGAAAGAATTTCTCTATCAAGAAAACATATAATATCTCGAGATTTCTTAAATTAGACAGGTTTATCTAGTATGTAAATGATATATACACTTGTATATTAATGTATGTACTTGTATGTCATGTGTATAAAATTGTATACACAATGCTATACACCTGACATATATTAAATTTTTGCCGAAAATATCTCGACATATATATATATATATATATATATATATATATATATTAAAAAGAACCATACAAACAATTTTATTTTCACCTTTAAACTATTACCGTAAACCATCATAGCTACAAAACATTAGGATATGAATATGTCTCCTTTCCAAGCAAATGAATCGGTATCAGTAGTAACATCATTATTTCGTGAGGTACATTCTTGTTTTTAAAAGACATAAATTATTAACAATTCACTTTGATACGGTATAAGGAGAAAGGAGAAGAAAAAGAGAATGATACTATCAACGAAATTATAAGGATATAGGAAGTCAATATAAATTAGATATGACTTTTATGATGATAATCAAAGTTTTATGATAACACTTGAAATAAAGAATAAGGTAATATTGATCGATGTTTGAAGTTTTTGTAATTTTAAGACAACAACTTATTGATATGAAAACACAAAATAAAATTAATGCAACTTTAAATTCTGAATTTGTTGTGTCTTAATCTTCTATCATTTGAAGAGCCAAGATATATTTTTTTGATTAACAATTTGTTTGACCAATCTTTTAAAACGATTTCTATTTTTTTTTTAAAAAAAGAATTTGTTATTTAGAAAAAAAGGTAGAATCAATATTAGAATTAGCTGATACAAGAGTAATATTAGCACACAAGATTGAAATATTAAGAAATATCAATATTTTCTGACATTGCTATATTTTAAAATTAATATATCGATATCATAATGAAATTGTTATATAATAAAATACAATATTCGATATCTACGATATCATACCCACACCTAATGACAGGAAGCGAGAGAAATGGTTAAAATTAGGAATATTAAAACTACTAATTAAACACAAACAAAAACTCTCCTAATCTAATATGGAATAATAATAACTTGAAAAATTGGAACCTATGATACTGTTGCTTTGTCGTTTTAAGGTAAAGTATTTACTTCCGTCGCTTTGGTCTTATTTTAACTTGATACAAAATTTAATAAAATAAAAAAAGAGACTTTTGAGTAAATGTATCAAGATATTCTTTTGATATTGTAGTTTTAATTCTTACTTGTCATATGAAATGTTGAATTTGTAATAAGAGAGTTGCCACTTATCAAAAATAGGAAGTAAAGAACCATTCGTTTTCAAACGAGAAAAATATTATATTGGATTATTAATGTATATGAAGTAAATTGGGATATCTTACGATTAAGTATGAAATTTATCATAAAACAAAAAAAAAGTATATTAATCAATCCCAAACTTAATACTTCACGAGTTCTTAAGAAAGTGATGTTCCTTGAAGAAGCATCTTGAAAATGTTACTGAAAAGATCTGCCTAAACTATTCAGTATATCTTGAGAGTTTGATGATGTTTTTATGTGTAGCGTGTTTGGAGAGAGGAAATCCATGTTACATACACCCTTGATATTATAGCAAGTAAGTGATCATGATTCAGAATTTGAAGATTGTTTTAGAATATGAACGACTTTTTAGAATAGCTAAATTTGGGATACCATCCACACTATAGCTAAATAGTATTTTTCATTTGCTTTCAATTCACTTGAGGACATTCTTGGCCTATTTTATTACTATAAGGGTATAATGGACAAGATCCTTACTATTCATGAATATTTTACACAATCACTTAAGTTTTTTACCAATTGGAAAAAAGGGAAAAAATGGCTATATATATATATATATTGATTACACTTTTGATTAATACATGAGTTGTTGTATCTAGCTAAAAATTGATGGTTGAAATTTATTTGCTTTGATTTGATTAAAATTATTTATGTTTTAATTATAAATTTAAATCATCAAATTTTAATCTACTCAAATGGCAAGAAATAAGCACGATATTGAAATCTACTCGACATTGATCTACATTAAGGAATTTACTTTAGGACCCAAGAACCAAATACTCCCAAAATTCTGTTTTTATTATAAAGTCTATTTATTTATAATTTATAATTTTGGAAGCAAGAAAAATAGTATCTTATTATATATAATATGTAAAATGTTCTTTAATTTCAAATTAATGAAATATCAGTCATTTGTAAAAATTTTAAATTATCAAGCAAAGTTCTACTACCTTTAACGAAACATATATTATCTCTAGAATTAATTGTACATATTATCTCTATTGTTAAACTAAGTCATTCTTACCCTTGTCGTCACTAATTTCATTATTTGTAACCCTTAATTGACGAAAATTTCCAGATTGACTCAAATTAACCCAATTTTCATAACGACTCATTTTCCATTTTGAACCCAATGCACCAGCCGGTATAAACCAATCAAGGCACACATGTGTTTTCTTTTAAAAAGAGAATCAGGTATTGCTGAAAAGGAGAAAATATTGATTAATGTGGTAGCCTCTTACTTACCAATGAATCATCCAATTATGTAAAATATTTTTGTTTAGTTATTCGATTTTCTAATACAAATATAGAAGTTATAGAAAAGTAATTGAATTCGTCCAAACTCTTTCCCCACATAACACTGTAGCTCCGCCCCTGGATAGGAGGTTTGATCGAAAATAAAAGAGAACTCTTAAAAGGAAACTTCATAGATATAAACTGCTAATATCTTCCCAATTGCTCTCAATTTTCACTTTCTTCAAGTGTAGCTCCCAAATAAGAAGCAACGTAAATGTTAGAGAGCAATATATATATATAACAACATAAATCAATCTTGTGTAGCAATTGGTTTTGTTCAATCAGCTCAAAGTGGCTTGAGCAACAAATACAAGTAAAATAAAGCTTAGATTATAAGTTGGTATAACAGCCCTAATCAATCAATAGTTGTTAGGGATTTACTATGTTTGGTAATTTTTAAAACTATCACCATAAATACTTAGACACTTGGATTTATGAGGTTTGCTATATGCTTCAAACTAAGTTATCTCCCATCTCTTGCTGCTGTGAATAAAACATCTACAAACTACACAGGTTCGCTATATGGTTCAAACTTCAAACTAATTTATGGTTGTTCGAAATAACTATTTTCTTTGATATGGAGTAACCACCCCTTCCAAAAAAAAAATAGAGTATGGTATTGTGTTATTTTGCACTTTGTAACTTTCTTTGACAAAAAAAGTCTGATTGAAATGGTTTGGAAATGTGAAGAGATGTGCACACGTTTACTAAGGAAGTGCAAAAGGCTGGTCATACTAGGTATAGGGAGAGGTAGGTCAAAGAAGTGTTGGAGATAGGTGATTAGACATGACATGACACACCTTCAAGTTGTCGAGGACATGACCTTAGATAAGAGAGTCTGGAGGATAGGTACTAGGGTAGATGGTAGTGGAGTGTTCTCTTGCTTTTCACGAGTTTATGTTTGTCTTGTACTAGCCGTATTATTGTACTTCTTGCTTTTAACATCTATTGTCATATGTTTTTACTAGAGTTTTAATTATCGCATTATTTTGTTATTCTTGTAGGATTTCCACCACTTTCCTGGTAATTATTATGTTTTGTTATATTGTTTTATTAATTCTTGCACTAGAATTTGTTGCACTTGAGCCGAGACTCTTTTGAAAACATTTCTACCTCCACGAGGTAATGGTAAGGTCTACATATACTCTACCCTTCCAAAACCTTTCTTGTGGAATTTCACTATGTATATTGTTGTTGTATTTTTCTTTTCTTTCATAATTGCATTCATTCAACATCCTATACAACAACAACATTCACAGAGAAATTCCACTAAGTGGGGACTGAGAGTGTATAGTGTACGCAACTCACCACTACCTCAAGAAGCTAGAAAGACTATTTTCGAAGAATTCTCGACTGTACGCATCAAATCAAAGTAAAAGAAATAAAAACAATAAAGAAAACGTAACAGTTAAAAAGAAAGTAGTGTGAAATTTACAAGAAAAAAACTATAAGAACAATAAAACAATGCGATAATTAAAACACAATAAACGACATATGACAAGAATCACAAGGGTAACAAGTACTAAAACATACCCTAACAGGCATAAACCTTTGCAATGCAGGATAACACTTCAACCTACTAACCTTCTACCCAAATAGTCGACCCTCACTCCTTATCTAGAGTCATGTACTTGACAAAATAAAGTTGTTTTATGTCATATCTAATCACTTCATTAATACTTTTTTTGTTTATCTCTACCCCTTGCTATCAACCTATTGCACTTTCTCACCGGATGTCTATGCGCTTCCTGTACACATGCCTAAACCATCTAAGCGTTGCTTCACTCGTCTAGATGTTCAAAGCAAGGAAACAAGATATGCAAAAAATAAGGGGACATAAAATAGTAAATCAAGTAGATTGAAAACTGCCTCCAGTCAAACTAACACAAGATATTCATTAATTTCACTTTTATTTCATAAACAATACTAGTAGATATAAACATCAAGTATATGGTTCATCCTCAGTATACACAGATAAAGATGAAAGCAAAGACATAAACTTAAACAATAATTGTTTATAAAAATTAAGATTCGAACCTGCTTCGAGGATATGCGAACATCAATCTTTAATTGAATCAATCTAAACCATTCAATCAAAGATCTGAAAATGGACTGATCCATGGTCATCAACTGTACAGATCTGGAAATCTCTGATGAGTTTTATGGATGAATATCATCTGGGGTTAAAGGATTTATCTCTGATGAGTTTTATGGATGAATATCATCTGGGGTTAAAGGATTTGGGAGGAAGGCAGGAGTAGGAATAGATAGAGAGTTTATAAGGGATTTTAGTAGAGATTGCTTGATACTTTGTTGGTTAATTTACCAATGTCTGTCTCTCTATTTATACCACTAATTAGGGCTAATGTATAAATTATAATTGTTAGAGTCCTTATGTATTTACTAATAAGTCCCTATTCTAGAATACTCTACATAACTAGAATATTCTAAGGACTTTCATGTAAAACTATGAAATTTTAATGTCTTTCAAAGATTTCTTCATACATTTCTAGAATATTCTATTAAGGGTATCTTCAATCTTGAACTCTATTTTATTTTTCAAATCTAGAGTTTTCTATTTTTTCAGTTCAACTCAATTTTCTATTTTATTATTATTTTTTCTATTTCATTCTTATTTTGTTATTTCAGACAATCAACTTCAACTCAATTCTCTATTCTTATTCTATTCTGTCTAATCACTATGTTACAAACACTCTAACCATAGACCAATCCCCTATTTCAAGTGCCTTCATGAAACTCCGTCCGGTTTCATAATAATCATGAAACTTCATGTATCTTTGTAATTTTATTCATAATACCATTCTTTTTCTTCCATTTCTCCTTCTATTGTATTGAAGTAAACTGTTATTAAAGTTTTCCTTTTAAGGAATACAAAAGTACCTCACAAAATAATGACACTGTTACTATCAAAATTTACGCCAATTTAATTACTTGAAAATGAGATAATCCAAATCATAATGATCTTTTTTTTCTTTTTATGATAGTGTTTTTTGTATTGTTACGACCAAATGCGGTATGGTTATGATGGTTTACGATAATTAAAATATTATTATATCTAGTAGATGTCAGAGATGATCCAATGGTTATGTGAGACAAAAGGCCACAACGCATACCAACACTTTGTCACTATAAAGTCCAAAAAGTAAAGACAATTTTTCTTACTTTTCAACAAAACCTATCAACTCTATTGTCATGATTTTGTCATGTCATCGTACCAGTTAGCCGTTGTGTGGCATGAATTTGTCCATAATAAGCTTTAACGGAATATTTTATAAATATATGGAGAAATGTTTGGAAGATCCAAGAATTTCATGGATTTACAAGAAAAATTCTTAATTAAAATATTTTAGTTCTGTTGAGTATTCTAGAATGGAGATTTATTTGTAAATATGTAGGGACTCGTATAACAATTGTTATTTATGTATTGACCATATGAAAGACTTACATTGATAGAAGAATAGTCCTTAGTGAAGTATATTTTAGAAATATATGGAGAAATCTTTGAAAGATCTTTGAATTCCATCTATTTACATGAAAAGGCCTTAAAGTATTTTAGTTGTATTGAGTATTCTAGAATTAAGACTTATTCGTAAATATGTAGGGACTCATATAACAATTCTTATTTATATATTGTCCATATGGAAGACTTACATGGATAGAGAAACAATTCTTAGTGGAATATTCTAGAAATATATAGAGAAAATCTTTGAAAGATCTTAGAATTTATATATTTGCATGAAAACGCCTTAGAATTGTCACGACCCAAATCCGAGCCGCGACTGGCACCCACACTTACCCTCCTATGTGAGCGAACCAACCAATCTAACCTTAACATTTCAATGTAATAACAACAAAAAGTAATGCGGAAGACTTAAACTCATTAATAAAAATCAATAATCAACTTCTATAACTCAAGAACTTATCATTATCCCCAGAATCTGGAAGTCATCACTACAAGAACATCTACAATCAAATGACTAAACTAAGAGTATTCTAGAAGCTAAAAATACATAAGAAGCTAGTCCGTGCCGGAGGTTCAAGGCATCAAGACGTGACGGAGGAGATCCAGTCCAAGCTAGAAGTGTTAGCTCACCCTGAAGATCCGGTGTGACGAAGACTGGCTTGAATTACTGTTGAGTCGAAGATGACGGCACGTTTGCTGCATTCCACAATTAAACAAGAAGAAAACAATAAAAGTAGGGGTCAGTACAAACACGGGTACTGAGTAGATATCATCGGCCAACTCAAAATAGGGAATAGTATATATCAAGTATTATCATAAATCAACTATAAAACTCAACATGTAACAACAACAAGTACTATAATCATCAATAAGTACCATCAAATTCACACATGAGGACTCAAGCCCCAATACCATACTCATTTGGAAATCATGTTCGTTAGATTGAGTATATTAACATCTTTCAAGATTCATTATCTTTCCTCCTCTTGTGTCGGTTCGTGACACTCCGATCCCCTAATTCTATGTGTCGGAACGTGACACTCCGATCCCCTACATGTGTCGGAACGTGACACTCCGATCCCCTACATGTGTCGGAACGTGACACTCCGATCCACTAAATCTATGTGTCGGAACGTGACACTCCGATCCACTAATATCATTCTGTAAATCATCAAGCCTTTTCTATACCAAGGCATCCTCAATCCCATTACTTTAATTCATCAAGCCTTCTTCTATACCAAGGCATCATCATTAATAATGTATATTAAAGTTTCTTTTCAAGATTTGGGATTCAATATTTTTGATCATGCTTATCTTATCACAATTATATAATCATATTCATGCAAACATACAATTAAGCATATAGTAGGGTTTACAATGCTACCAATACATATCATTCTCTATTAAGAGTTTACTATGAAAGCATGAAAACCATAACCTACCTCCACCGAAGATTAGAAATCAAGCAAGCAAGTTCACAAAGCTTTGTTCTTCTTCTCGTTTCTCCTCTTTCCCGTTCGTTTCTCCCTCTCTTTCTGTTCTTTTCTTCTTTTTCTTATTCAACCCTCTTTCTTTTACCCTAATTAGTATATATTTAAGAATAAAAGGTGGCAATAATACCCCGCTAATTAACTTAGGGTTACCTCTTTTAACCCTCAAGAATTTGAGTTATTAATATAAACCCACGAAGTCTATAATTAAGGAAAGAATAGTCCAAAAACGTCCCTTAAAACTTCACCAGAAATCCGACTCTGCCTGGGATTTGCGCAACCTGTGACGGGTCGTCGTGCCTGCGACGGTCCGTCCTGCAGGTCGTCGCAGAGTTCAGAGACCCAAATTTCCACCAAGGGTCTGTGACGGTACGTCACACCTGTGACGGTCCGTCCTGCCATTCCGTCACAAAGTTCAGAGAGTTGATTTTCAGTACCCAATTTCAGATTTTCTAAGTATTTTGGGACGAGACCCCCTCGACGGTCCGTCGTGCCCATGACGTTCCGTCGTGGGGTCCGTCGCTTCTGCCAGTTTTTCCAGAATTGAAGTCTGTTGCTCAAAACGACTAAACGGGTCGTTACAATATTCTAGTTGCATAGAATATTCTACAATTGAGACTTATTTTGTAAATATGTAGGGACTCATATAACAATTGTTATTTATATATTGTCCACATAGAAGACTTACATGGAAAGAAAAATAATTCTTAGTAGAATATTCTAGAAATATATAGAGAAAATCTTTGAAAGATCTTAGAATTTATTTATTTGCATGAAAAGGCCTTAGAATATTCTAGTTGCGTAGAATTTTCTAGAATTGAGACTTATTTATAAATATATAGGGACTCATATAACAATTATTATTATTTATAATTGTCCACATGGAAGACTTACATGGAAAGAAAAACAATTCTTAATGGATTATTATAGAAATATATGGAGAAATCATTGCAAGATCTTAGAGTTTTATGGATTTACATGTAAAGGCCTTAAAATATTTTAGGTGTGTAGAGTATTCTAGAATGTAGACTTATTTGTAATTATATAGGGACTCACACAACAATTGTTATTTATATTTTAACCCTAAATTAGTAGTATAAATTGAGAGCAACCATCTGTAAAATGACAAGCAAGAATAGCAATCTGTTTGGGTAATATGCCTCTAGAGCTATTGAGAGGTACTGATGAGGTTTGAGGAGTTCGAGAAAAAATATAGTTGCTTTTACTGGCGGTTTTTATCTCCTTGAAGCAGGTTCGAGTCTTGATTTTTATAAACTATTAGAATTACAGTGTATGTAGACCAAAATTATTTTAAGACAATTCACTTTCAATTTTTAGTTCCTTTAAATATTAAATTTCTCACTCACATCAATTTTGTGTTTCAAATAATGGAATAGAAAAAAAATAGAACTTTGTTATGTTCGTATTTCCTTAATCCAGCAACTAACTCTCTCCACTGTTTAACTGAAAAGATCCCACGCATTATAAATTAATAGCTAGTGCTAAAGAAAATTACACAAAAGAGAGACGGATCTAAGATTCAATAGAAGTAGTGAAATCTAATACCATTATACATGTGATGGTTAGAATGGATTGAAAAAAATAGTTGTTGTTTCGAAGATAGATCTAGTCTCATTTGCTAAGTAAAATAGAATAGTTTAGTATCTTTTCTTTTTTGATATAAACAACTTTTCATAGAAGATGTAGATCAAAGTTGCAAGCTCCCTATGATCTGCATTTTCTATTCTAAGTCGATTATACCAAAAAATAAAGATTTTAAAAAATTTCATATTACTTTTGTGAATAAAATTAATATTAAATCTATTTTCAAAATATCTTTCATTTTTTTTCTTGCAGACTGACCATCATATCCATGATAATATTAATTAGCTTTCACCATTACTTTTGAGTTTTAGATTCTCCACCTATCTCTTCTGTGTAACTTACTTTCTTGCAAATTATTAGTTTATAACGTTTGAAATCTTTTGTGTTGGGCAGTGTTGAGACGGTGACTGTTTGTTTTAAGGAGATAGGAATAGCTATTGACTAATCATGCAAGATTGATTTATGTAGTTATATATTGTTCTCTAACATTTACATTTTTTCTTATTTGGAGCTTTGGATCGGAGCATACACTTGAAGAAGCAATTGGGAAGATGTTAGCAGATTATATATATGAAACCTTTTTTTAAGAGTTCTCTTTTACTTTCGATCAAACCTCCTGTTCAGCGGTGAAGCTACTGGAATCATATAATTTTTGTGTAAAGACTTATAAAAATAAGTGGATTGTTTATTGGTAAATAAATACATGTTTCATTCTCTTTTTAAATGAAAACCATATACTTGCATACATTTTTCCTTTGTTGCTTTAGTTTTTTCCTTTTTGCTATACATAGATTTTATTTTCATATAAATGAGAATTACTAAGTTTCAATAGTAATGAATGCTAGCAAAGTAATGAACTGAATCTACATTAGCAAAGTAATAAAATGGACGGAAACTTAAAGCCGCGCGGCTTAAAAACAGACACAAAAAAAGTGTTATCCAGCTTAAAATTTTTGTGAGTGATTTAAAAGCTTAATTAGCATTGCAATCGTTCAATGTTCATTCCTATACAATAACAATAACCATAACATATTCTGTATAATATTCGAAAAATTGGCATATTATGACAAACTTTAGATTTAATTGGTATTTAGTAGCCCATTTTAATTTTTTAGCAATAAATTATTTATTTAGTTGACATTGAACCGCCACATTCTTTTTCTTGAAAATGTTTTTTTTTCTTAATTCTCTCTCTATTTTCTACTCTCTCCGTCCCATTTTATATGAGGTAGTTTGACTCGGCGCGAATTTTATGTGAGGCTATTTGACTCGATATAGATTTCAAAAAGAAATGAAGGCACTTAAAATTTGTGGTTCAAAATAAATGATAAATTTTTTGTGTGGTTGTAATTCATTTAATTAAAAGAGTAAAATAGATATTTTATACTTATATTGTTACCTACTATAGAAATATATTATTTTTTTCGAAACTGACTTAAAAGAAAAAAAATTGACGAACATTCAAAAATGAAAAATGACAAACATTCTTAAAAGAACTAGTAACTACAACAACAATCGGGATACAAGAAACAATAAATGGTACCTACCACTATTGGTGTGTGGAAGGTTAAGTTATACAACAGTCAACTATCTATTAACGTTCTATCTTAATTTGTAACCTCCTTAATTATTTATCTAAGATCACATTCTCAGCAAGCTTCAACAGAGCAATATACTAGGCATCAAGCTTAGTACATTGTATAAAAATATACACAAAACATCCTTACCTAACAAATAGTGTGGATGGTTAAGATTGATATTTGATTGCAAATTTCACAATCCTAGAAACTTATTTTTTAGGCGAGACAACCTTCAAATTTTGAATCGCGTTCACTTCCTTGCTATGATAATAAATGTGTATGTAGGTACACGAAATTTCCAATGAATGATAAGGCCACTCGTAAATTGATGTTTGAGAGATCGAACTGAGTTAAAATTTTCAATCAAATAAAAATAGGTAGAAATCGACGGGAGTAACTACTTTCCCTTAAAACAACAAAACAAGAGTATCAAAGGTTCCAATCCCCCCCCCCTCTCCCCCCCCAAAAAAAAACATAAGCTGTTTTCATAAGTAAGCAAGCTGAATAGTTTAGTATTTTTTCTTTTTTGATATAAAAAATTGTATAAAAGATGTAGATCAAAATTGCAAGCTCCCAATGATCTACATCTTCTATTCTAAGTTGTTTACACCAAAAAATAAGGATGCTAAACAAATTCCATATTACTTTTGTAAATAAAGCTAATATCAAATCTATCTTTAAAATATTATTTTTTTTCTTCTACACTGACCATCATATGCATGATGATATCAATTAGCTTCCATCATTTCTTTTGAGTTTTAGATTCCCCACCTATCTCTTATGTGTAATTTAGTTTCGGGCTAATTTTTTAATATATAACGCGTGAAATCTTGTGTTGGATAGTATTGAGAAGGTGGTTTTTTGTATTAAAGAGCTAGGAATAGCTATTGACTCATTATGCAAGATTGACTTATGTTGTTTATATTGTTCTCTAACATTTACATTGAATTGGTTCTTATGTGGGAACTTTGGAGCATCATACACATTGAAGAAAGTAAAAATTGGAACCAATTGGGAAGATGCTAGCAGATTAGGTATATGAAGCCTCTTTTCAAGTCTTCTTAAGAGTTGTTTGTTACTATCGATCAAATCTCCTATCCATCGACGGAGCTATTTACTTCAAACAAATCCTATAATTTTTGTGTAAATACTTATATAAATAAGTGAATGGTTTATTGGTAAATATATACATGTCTAATTCTCTTTTTGAAAGGAAACTATATACTTTCATAAGTTTTTCCTTTATTACTTTAGTTTTTTCCTTTTTGATACACGTAGATTTTATTTTCAAATAACAGAAAATTACTAAATTTCAGTGGCAATGAATACTAGCAAAATAATGGAAATGAATCTATATTTGGCAACGTAACAAAATGAACGAAAACTTAAAGCCGCAAGGCTTAAAACACACAAAAAGGTGTTATGCGGCTCAAAATTTTTGTGGGTTAAAAAGGTTAATTTTCACTGCACTCGTCCCATTGACATTCCTATGCAATAACAATAACACATGCAGTATAATAATTGAAAAAATAACATACGGTAAAATCTCTATGAATTAATATAGGTGGGACTATGAAATTTTATTATTTTATAGAGATATTATTTAATCGAGAAATTAATATTTATTAATTTAAAGAATGATTTGAGATTTGATGAAGGTTAATTTTAATTATATCAAAATCATTGTGTCTTACTAATATATATATATCATATTTATTGATTTCGCATAAAAAGTATTACACATAAAGTGCAACGAATACATCAAAATCATTGTATCTTACTATTTTCGACCTTGTGATTTGTGATAATAAGAGATTTCAAGATGTATGATCGAGCAGATTTTGTTGTAGGAATTAGTAGGTTGTGAAGTGGGACAAACTGGTCTAGTAAAGATCAATGTTTGGATGCTATCAATTTTGCAATCCCTGTTTGAAAAAAAATATTCAGCAAAAGACAATAACAAATTGTTTTCGACACTGTAAAAATTCATTTGGAAGATGCAATTTCAGGGACTTTAAATGAAAGTGCTTGTAAAAACATTATTCATGAACTTGAGGTCATTGTTAATGATCTCTGTTACCACAACAAAATGGATGACAATAATGGGTTGGATAATCCGAGTGAAAGTGATACATGTTCAGAGGACTTATACATAGAAGTAATCGTGGATACCATCAGAAAAAGTAATGTTGATGATAAAGTTGAAGATGATAATACCTTTGGAACCAGTTGCGCGTAAGAAAACACTTATCGCATCTAGACTTCACAATCTTATGTGCAATTTGAAAATATAACATCGGAGCTCGTGGATGCAATAAGAAAAGTTAGAGATGAGCTTCAACCAGATTTTTTTTAAAAAAAAAATACAATAGACCCGTATTTTCACTAAATTGTCTACAGATATATTTGTACTTTTAAATAATTATTAGTATATGATATTAATGAGACCATATATTTATATAGAGATCTTCTAGAAATATATTATCTTATTATTTTGTCGAAAATGATGATTTTTTTCAATTGGCCCAAAGTTGAGAGTGAAGGAAAATATTATTTTAGAGAGATTATTAATTTATCGAGTATTAGTTTATTGAGATTTTACTGTGTTATGACAATTTATAAACTTAATTGGCATTTAATAAGCCCATTTTAACCACATTCTATTTCTTTGAAAAATGATATCTTTTCTTGATTTGGGTTTATATTATTAGGCGGGTCGAGTTAAAATTAAGTAATTGAATTAAAATTAGTCATTTTAATTGATTTGGAATTTTCATCCAATTGAGTGGTATAAATAGCAAAACTAATAACGACGAGGGTATATATAACTTTATTTTAATGGGTATAGTCAACTATAAAACAAAATTGAAGGATATTTTTTACCTTTCCTATTTTTCAAGTAGTTTAAAAATATATAAATTTTATTTCAAAAAGAATTAAAAATTTCATGCCTAAATTTGCTATCTAACTTAAACAAATTTGACTCTAAACTAAATCAATTTGACTCTAAAAAATTAAAAAGTTGAAACCAAAACAACCAACAAACAAACTTTTGTTAAAGTAGAATTGTTGGGATCTTGAGTTAAGAAAATCCCTCCAAAAATTGGCGTATGCCACTTAATTGCAGCGCACACACGGTATTCCAATATATGGCCTTTGCACCTTTGTTGGGTCAAATACTTTGGTTTGTGAATTCATTGGGCATCAGCCATTTGACTTAGAGAAGCTTAGCTTATTCACAACTTGATTAGCTTATCTATAACAATGTCTAGCTACAATTGTGCTAATATCATTGATGGTTTCTTTTATCATTCAAGGAGTATCCTTATTGTTATTTAAACATTATACTAAGGGATGGCAATGGGGCGGGGGTGCGGATACAGAGTGAAGTGGGCTTAAGGCTATGCGGGGCGGGGTGGTATAAGGTTGTTGGGGCGGGTTGAAGTGGATTTTTTATAGCTAATGCGGGGAGGAGGGGCGTATTGTGGGTATATTGATTTTATGTGGGTTCAAACTTAGTTTTAATTTTTTCTTTTTGTATGTTATAAGAGTAATAAAACATTATTTATTAAGATAATTTCTTCAAAGCTACTAAAATATTCAAGATAGTAAATGAAATGATTCAATAAAAAATAATATAATTTCTTACCTGTTCTACAATTGACCTCTAAAAAATAAAATTTTAAGTCACTATCCTATTAAATTAATACAACTTAATGATCAATTATATTTTTAGTATCAAACTTAACTAGAAAAAAAATATTAGAAAAATTATCCGAGGTGAATCTATGGAGGCGAAGTGGGCAGGTTTAAAATAAAAATATTGTTATACAAGGCGGGACAAAGCAAATTAAAAATTTAACGGATTAAGCTCAACCCATACAGCACCGCCATTGTCTAAACATCCGTTGAGGCCAAATAAGAAAGCATTTGCCTCAGCTTCATTGCTTGTTCTTTGCTCTAGAAGAATAGAATAGAAGTCATGATGAGCTTGTATATTCACAATTTTATTTTCCATCCTCAATGGTTTTCATATCAAGGATTCATAATTTGAGATTTATGAGTTTTGAATTTAGAATAACAATACCAAATTAATATATATAACAATACCTAATATATAAAAAGTAATGAACCCAGATATTTTATTTGGAAAAAAAGGGATATTGG